TATAACAATATTTTATGTAGTAAAGAAAAGAAACTCTTCTAATGTACTGCAAATGAAACCAATTGAGAATTCAAAGGATTTACTGAAGCTAATGATGTATGCACACAATTATAAGGCAAAAAATATGACATCAACTTGTTCGTTGAATCGGAGAAAAATTAATGAACTTGATAAAAAATATTGTGAAACATGATATTACGCGTTCGAGGTAAGCCTCGAAAAAGTGATATGAAGGTCATTCTTCAATGTATCATAACATGTTTTCTGTACTACAGACATTATTCATGCAAATGTAAACTAGGTAAAAATTAAACAATTTCTTTTATTGTAGAATAGTAGCACAAACGATATTGATAAAAAAAAACTTTTGATCCACACGTTATATTTAGCATTCAGATATTGCATTCAATCAAGGATTTGACCATTAAAATTATAGTTTACTATCCGAAGTTATGTTGAAGAAGGTCTTCGTCATTATATACGAGAAGCATGTAGCTTAATCATCTATTAAAATTAATTCAATGATTGTATTGTTCGGATTGTCGTTTGGCAAAAATAATTGCTGAATTATTAAAAGCAGATGATCGGCTTAAAATAATTGGAGATATTGTATTTAGACTTGTTTGTTTGCATTGGAAAGTATGTCAATGCTTTTGATTAAGAAAAAACAAACTTATGAATGAAGATAATTTATTTAGGAAAAAAAATATAATAACAATCTATCAGATGACGTCCTTTTAAGTGACAAATGCTGGTAGAGAAGTCCAAGGATTGACTATGTCAACATATTAAAGATTGAGTAATGATAAGATTAAATGCCTGCATAACAATGGGATGTCAAAGTCAAGTATACATATAAAAAAAAGTTCTCTTTATAACAACAACAAGAATAATTTAGCCATTCTAATCAAGCATAAGTTTTTCTTTTATTCATCTATATCATGGAAAATAACCTTGTTCTGTACGGTAGGATTTTTATCATTGGTATGATCAGATATGTCAATTTGATTAATCGATCCATAATCTGGTCCACATCGTGAATTTGGTAAACTGTGACTTATTGTTGATGTTGAACCGCCTATACAACTTGTTTGACTTGTAAAAGATTTTCTGTAATAATCATGATAATCTGGTTGTTGAATTTGTAAATATTTTGCCTTAACTGTTGTTGTTTTCATCATAAATTGAATTTTATTATGCATATTAACTGGTGTCCCATTAACACATGATGAAGCAAAATGTTTTTCAGCTTGATATTCTACAAGTACTTGACGGAATTGTCGGGGTGCTGATGTTAAACGATGATTAACAGCATTCATCATATCTGTTTGAAGTATTTTTGCTAAATTTCGTTTCTCTTGAAAACCTATTGTTTTCATTAGTGCATGACGAAATTCTGTACCGGATAAACAATAAAGAAGAGTACTTGCATAATTAAAATACATTAAAATATTATAGATTGTCCATTGTATACGTCGACAACGCATTACATCAATTGATGCTTTATGTGAAAGTAAATCAATAATAAATGCAGTTACTGGTAACGTTGTTGCAACAAATACAAATGATGAACATACCATTATTAAACATAATGAACGTAAACGATTTGTTGCTTTCGAGCGACTAACGAATTCGCCTTTTTTACCCGGAGTAGATGTAAGAAAAACACGATTAACAACAGTTAAATTACATAAAATAATAAATATAAAAGGGATTATTGTAACAAGAAACATATCAATCCATGTATAGATTTGTTCGAAAAAGTGTACATAACTTGGATGTAAATAACATCGTTGATATTGAAATGGATTAACAGTGGAGCGTATAGAATTGAGATCATTTAAATTTTTAGTATGATCATCACCTTGAACAAATATGAATAAATGTATATTACATAAAGATACAACGGTGAATACAATGGTTGAATTAATTGATGCTTGTCGTGTACGACACCA